GTCGTCGTCGTCGTCGTGGTGGTGGAAGTGTCCTCTACAGTGTGAATTTGGGACTTTCCCTTCTGCCGATTGCTCATGGACTCATGGCCAATTTCAATTTGGGAGCGAATGCCTGGAGCCACACACCTCTAAGTAGAGGCCTGGGAGGTCTCGTGCTCGGTCTGGCTTGCTTTCCATGGAAACCGCCCTCAGTAGGAGGCCTCAGGCTTGGTTTGCAAGGTCCGGGAGACTTTTCTGACAAGTTCTGTCTCCGGATGGAGGGGGGGTGGAGCAACTCGAGCGCGCATCTAAGACTTGGGGTCGGTGATCGCTTCCCGCCTGGGATGAACAACCAAGGCCCGCGGCCTGCCGTCGATCCGGCCTGCACAGTTTTTAGGCTCAGCCACGAGACACGCAGCGTCGGAAAAACTCTCGACCTCCCCGGAGTGTAGAGAATCGAGATGTGCCGGTGAGCCTGGCAAAAACTCAGGAGCCGGGCCACGGCAAAATGCGGCGAAGCAAGGCCTCCTTCCGACACCTCAAGGTCTGAATTAGGGTTTGCAGGCTCATCTCTGCAATGGTGCATAAGTGCCAGGCGAGTCGACAGCAAAGCGGAACGACACGTCTGCATGGTTCTCAGATCAGACTGTATCGACAAGATTGTAGTTGTATCGCTTCCTGGCCAGACACTAAACGCCCTAAACCTTCAATCCCTAGGGCCGAGCTCCCCTTTCGAGACTCTGCCGCTGGCTCAGTGTTTGGACCTGGTCTGATAGAGACTTTTGCTGGGCGGACGGTGGATGCTTGGCATTTGGCATCAGCTGAAGCCAGACAGCAACCGAATCAGTTCCATACGTGCACCAAATTGCCAAAGCTGCAGCAATTATCGTGGTCACAAGTGGCTTTCCAAGGTTCTTTCGCTATTCTCTCTTGTCCTTTGCAAATGGCTTTATTTTCCCGTGCTCTTCTGCTACAGCAGACGCACATTGCGCTTGCGACATGCAGCAGGTCAATGTTCGTTAACTCAGATGGCAGGAATGCCATGGTGCCAAAGCTACGAAAAGCGCACCTACCAGAAGCTGTCCGCTTATCTCAAAAAGGACTCTCGGCACAAAACTTGACATCCATGCCCGCAGCAAGCGCGGCCAGCTCTTTGGGTAGCTGTGGAAGGCCTGCAGTGCGAAATTCGGAGCTTGTGCAGCAGGCTGAGTGTCGCTGAGTGACGAGTGCCCAAGGCCCAAGCCAGATGACTTGCTCACAGCTTCCGTCTCTGCACCACCCATTGCCAGGATAGACCTGGAGACCACTGATCTAGGAATCTAGGCTACGATGCTCTTTAGTCTTCTAGGCCGACTCCGCCCATGCTGTGAGCCTCAAGATCGCCTCAGCTTGCGCTTCGCCTTTCGCGATGACGGCGCGGATCTCCTCCTTGGGCGCTTGAGGGATACTTTTGCAGCCAGATCCGGCATCATAGGAAATGATGGCAATGTCTGAAGTCCGAAGTCCAGGCCCTCGGCCGTTTTGGCAATCTCAGCTGCCGTCTGTCCCGCAAGATTTTTGATCGAGAGATCCGCCCCTGCCGCAACTATGGCTTCCACTACCTGCAGAAATCAAGCAAGTCAACGTGCTGTACCACAGTGCGCAAAAAAATGACTGGCGGGAGCCGAAGAATGGATAGCGGCCTTTTGATGGCCTTCACGAGCAGCGATCATGACCGCTGTGTTGCCGTGCTCGTCCACTACCTGCGACAGCGGAGCAGTTCAGAATTGCAATACGTCACACTGAACTACTTTAGAACAGATCCTTTCACACGCTGAGGCTGCAGCATCCAGCTGAGGCTGCGAACAAGAAGTTTCGAGCGCACGGACCACCACATCGTGCTGCCCTCGCACACTCAGGGCCGGAGGTTCACAATTATCTGACCCTCAGGCTCACACCATGACGTGCGGCAATCATCAGCGCAGTGCGCTGCCAAGAAGCACCTGTCACCGTGACGACATGTTTTGGAATGGTTGCAGGCCTAAGAAGCGATGCTCCAAAGGTCGGTTAAGCTCTGCACATCCCTGGGGCATGTCTGCTCTTGATTCGACTGTTTCCATGCTGAAAGACCGATAGAGCTTGTAATTGCCTATCGACAATTGACTTTTGCAGCTGGATGACGATGGCTACAGTGGATAAGGCTCAGATAGCGCTTGAGCCAAGGCTTGCTCGTGCAAGCGACAGCGGTCATAGTGGCCACTGGCACTTCGGCTCTCAACAGTACTGCATACTGCTTGCTGCCTGCACTGGAGGCTTCTGTTCCGGTCAATGCTATCGGAAACATCTCCCGGCCTGTGAGACGTTAAATCTGGAGCGGGCTCCTATCAAGATGGGGCTCCTGAGATGCATGTCTGGATGAGGCATCGGGTGCCGAGCAATCGCACTGGAGGCACGCAAGCGATCATGACCGGTGCTGGAGCCGGAAAATGTTCGCCGCCATGTTAACCGGCAACTGCGATCTTTCTCGTCCTCATGGCTTGGTCCAGCATATTTCGAAATGCATCCTCCACCGGCTCGTCATCCAAATCATTTAGCAGAACAACATGCTTTTCTTGCTCTGGAGGCTCGAAATCACGTGCCATGCGGCTGCCCAGGGCTGTGTCAACGATGTTGTCCCTTTCGCGTAGACGACGCATCCGCGCGTTCTCGGCTGCCTGAACCCAAACGAAAACCAGGTCTGGATGAGCTCGACGTATAAGATCTCTGTGCCGTCGCTTAAATGTTGCCTGTGCAATCGCAATCGGTCTGCGAAGGCGGCCTTCTTTCGCAGCTAGCTCGACTTCGGCGGCCTTAACTTGGAAAATGCAGCGCGCGATTTCTTCTGCAAATCGATCCCGCTGCTCATCCGTGAATCCATGCCCATTCGCAAGAGACTCCTTCAGATCTTCCGGCAACCAGCTATCACCATCATGAAAGTCGTATCCAAAATCGTGATGCAGGACTTCTCCACAGTGCGTCTTTCCCACACCGGGCAAGCCAAAAAAGAAGAGGTTTGGAGCACCACCACTTTCGTCTTTCGGTGCCAACATGGAATTGGAGAGCTAAGAGAACAACACCCTCGAGACCTTCGGATAGCTGATGACAGACTGAAACACTGCATGCTCCCACCGCTGCAACTCAAATCACGATTACACAGACTCAAACTTGAGCAAGTGCAAAACTGCATCGAATCGCTTGCAACTCGAGAATAGGTCTACAATTTTGCGACAGGGCACAGGTGCACCACACCCTTGTTTTGTTCACCCGTCACAGCACGAGCCCCCTTCAGGGCGCAAGCGGGAAGGTGATCCTTTCGGATCGGACACGGGCACGGCACGGCGGTGCAAGAAGCAGAAAGCTGCTGATCGTAGAGATCGCACCAGATGATCTGCCTGGACCGCATTCAGTTGTAAAGTCTCATCACTTGGCGGATGGGATCCCGACCTGACAAAAATGCCAGACTCATGGCAAGGCAGCAAGAAGATCCAGCCCTTCCAAGGCTGCGACAAACAGGACAGCAGTTGGATCTTCTCTGGATTTCCGGCAGGCACGCTGCACAGACTCGATGCCTCATTGCCGCGGGAACAGACGTTCGAAGCCGCTCCTACGGCGAGACCTTGTACATGCTGCCAAGGTTGTTGTTAGAACAGTTTCAAAGTGGTGAGACCATAGCTATTAATCGCCTGTACCGATATCTTCTGGCTTGTAGCCTCCCTCCTGCCATTCTGTTCCCAAAGACAACTGAGGATTGAACACCAACAATACCAGTGAATGCCCTTTTTAGGGCATCCTCTTCTGAAGAACCCCCAGGCCCCAAGCGATGAGCAGGTCTCTGTGTATGGCACTGCTCACGAAACAACTGATAACCCCAAATCTGCAACGAATGACTGCGATGCACGCCTAAGCTCATCACTCCTGCCATCAGACTAACAGCACACCAATTGAAGCGAGTCGTAACGGTGCTGGGTGCGAGCCTTGGTGCGCAACAGGCAGTACCGCTCGTTTCTAGTAGCCAAAGGAGAACACCCCGGCGACCCCACGACGGTCACAGCATGCCGCCGGGATGCCCACAGTCCAGAGCTGCATTTGGCCAGTTCAACATGCACACGGGACCTGCAGCAGGGACTCTGAGCAAGACAGCCAAGAAAACAGATCCGGACTTTTTTGTGAGCAAGATCTGAAACAACAACGACAACCAGCGAGACCAGAGGCGTCCCAAGAGGCAAGTTGGTATTCCCGCAGCAGATGCCGGCTCGGCAGTAGACGGCGCTGGGATTTCGCTCGCCCTTGGAATCTGCAAGTGGTCCAAGCTTAAACCTTAACACGTTGCCCCCGTGCGGCTTGCTTGGGGTTTAGGCTTTTGGGATTGTTGGCTTAGTTTAGAGCTTGCTGGAGTCAAAAAGGCTGAAGGAAAGACGATCGAGTTTTGCATGAAACTGGAAGTCTTGGTTCTTCTTGGGAACTTCTTGGGAGACTTTTGAGTTCTGAGACAAGGGTCTCAACAAAAAAATGTTTGATCCTTATCATGACAGCCTGGTACGCTGGCTCATTACTTAGGGTGGCCTTGAATCATCAGGGGGCTGGGCAAGTTGGCTGCAAGTTGTAACTTCACTTTTGGCCAGCTTGCTGTGTCCTCGTACCCTAGATCAGAAAAGCTGAACTACATTCATCAGATAAGCACCGACCGAAAGCCGGCAGGACTACCCGTGACTACCCAGAAGCCATGAAACCCTAGACTCTTAGGCAAATCACAAAGCATATAATCCTCAACGCTAAAGCCCTCGGCACTGAAACGTAGCACCACAAGCCATAGACACTAAACTCGACGACAGCCCTAAACCCCATCAAGGGACTTAGAAAGCATTGGACTCCTACAAAATCAGCCACCTGATCCTGTCAGCATTCTATCAGCACTGACCCCTAAGCCTTAAACCGGAAGAGCTCTGGGACAGCCCCCGGAGTCCTAAACCGCAAGAGCTCTACGAGCTCTGGGACAGCCCCAAAACCCTAAAGCTAAACCCCCTGCTGCACCTACAGCCCGAGAATTTGCAATTGTGAAATGCAACTGAAGTTAAAACCTATCAACCTGAGACCTGGGGACATGATTCCGCAAAAACCCGAAAGTCCAAAAGACCCAAATCCCTCGCCCCTGCAGCCCCACACCCCACATTCCAAACTCCAAACTCCAAAGACCCAACAACCCCCATTGAGCCCTTTAAGGAACCCGCTTAAGGAGCCCTTACAAGAACCCTTACAGGAACCCTTCAACCCCGCGCATCCCTGCTTACAGGAGCTCTAGGCCCCGGTCAAGAGTTGGACTAAGCTTGACATGGTTATCAGGCTTTTTCCTAGATGTCTTCACGGTTTAACCGATGATACGTATAGACTTTTAGTACAAATTATTATTGTCACTACCTACCGTCACTGGTGTTGTTGTTGTTGTTGCTGTTGCTGTTGCTGTTGCTGTTGCTGTTGTTGTTGTTGTTGTTGTTTGGCCTTGGTTGCTGGTCTTCGGCCTTCGCTACAGGAATTTGTGTTTTTTGGGGGAGCTGCGGTTGAAGACTGCCCCTTCCCTCCCCTTCCCTCCCCGCCTCTCCGGGTTGAGGGGCGGTTTGGAAAGCTACAGATTCTGACAAGAGACTGGACTTTGGGTTCAAGCCTCAGGGAATGGTTTAGAAGTAGGTTAAGGGGGTCATCCTCCTCTCATCCGACATGTGGTTGCAAGCAGCGCCTCGAAGCCTTCGACGTGAATGGGTCGAGATTCAGATGAGAGGCGAATGGCCTCTGAGCCATGCACCCAGCGCAGGAGGGGCACTGGGTGGGTGCGGCAGGCGTTCCAGCAAAACCTCCGAGACTGGCCCAGTGCTCGGCCACTAGCAGCTAGCACAGAACTTGGAAGCGGAGGGTCTTCTCGTCTCACCCTTGCAGTCAGCAGCGGATCCTTGCCTGCAGCAGCGATGGCGAATCTAGAGACAATGGAGGCTGTCTTGCCTCAGGAGAATGGGTTCATGTCGCAGACTGGGCTTGAGTGGACCGCGAGCCGCAAACCTCAGGCGGGTCGAGTGGTGGCAGAGGCGGATATCCAAGCAACTCCCCGCACTCGGACCTGAGTCAGCGAGCGGCCCTGCGGTCCTTTGGCATGAACACTTCAAACCCAAACATTGGAACGGCCGAGGGACCTCAGTTGATGTAAAAAGGGACGGCAACCACCGAAGACTGCCTTCACAATGAAGTACACAAGAAAAGACACCTGAACAGATGTGCTGGCACTCACTGCGTACCAGTCGGAAAAAAGAAACAAAGTCAAACTTTTATGACAAGCTTCGCTGACCACAGCAGGCAGCAACCTGAGCCCTTCTTCTCCGGCACCGAGGATGATATTTCCCATGACAGGCGCGGCACAACTTCATCTACCCAGGATTTGGAGTTGGTGAACGGTGCATAATGGTGAAGCTCGCACGACAAGCTACATGACTGCCGGAGGCGTGATGCTGCCCACCATGCGGCAATCTACGACCAACCTCATCTGGTGGAAGCATACAGAAAGCCTCATGGGTCATAAGCGAAGCAGCCAGATGGCGACTGAGATTTCAAGCGTCACAACAGTTCACAAGGATTGTGCTAAACAAGGCGCGATGTATGGCAGTCACAAGCTCAGCATCCGCTGAACAGCAGCTGTGTTAGTCAATGCTACCACGTCTCAACAGCTTGAAGGTATATTATGCCTTGCCAAATCCTGCCCTTCTTCAGCTCCTCCAGCAGCTGCTGAAGATGAGCAGATTTGTGGTTCTGTACACGGGCGCACCACAGACTCCCTAATGAGCAAGTGAAGCAATCCAAACGAGAGTTGTCGTATGTTGTCGTCAGCCTGCTGATGCTGCGCAGATAGTTGCTTCACATGCTGAATGAAGTCACGATTTGCAAGTGCATCGTTGAATTACCAGTGCATGCCACCTACCCGTCACAGTATCACTAACCCAGGAAGGAGCTCACCATCTGAGCAAGAGCGGCTTGACAGAACGGCTTCTAGAGAGTGCGCATGGCCTGAAGTAGTCATCATGGCCACCGAAAAGCGAGTCCCCCCAGCGTCCAGCCGAGCCAAGTCCTTCGGCTGCAGGCCGTCACCCACTCTGAGAACTGAGAAACTGCTGAGACAAACGCCAAGACCAGGATAAACGCCGCCGCGCCCTGACCCTGCAAGGCTGAAAACTGCTGCCGTGCATGATCAGCGCATCTGTGGCCCAAGCTGCTGCCCAAGCTATTGTAGCCCAGCCTGCACACGGCTCTGACTTTCAGGGTCTATCCTTGTCTTCCCCCCCGGGCCGGCTCGGCCCACTGAATGCACTCACAATGCCATGGCCCTTGTGGCAGAGCTCGCCGAGGACGTTTGGGAAGAACAACCCGCAGGATGCCGTCTGTGTACCTCACAGCATCGAGCGCATCAAAAGTGAGGGCCTCATGCAGGAGTTGATTTTACGCAGAAATGCCGGGCAGACGATGCATCGATACTCTCCACATCGACCTTGCTTCAGCGGGCTTCCTCTACTTCGCCATCAGACGCATCAAGAATATATCAAGAATTCTACCTAGGACGCACTCGGCTTGGCCGAGAAAAGCACATCGTGAGGGAGCCGGAAGGCTTCAGCGAAACGACCATATTGCGCCTGATCGACAGATCACGGAAATAGGCAAAACACAGCGCACCGTCCTGTAAATGGGCACAACGTCTGCCTGACCAAGCTCAACGTATGCATCTGCAGCCACCTGCTGGTGCAGTCGGCAGTGTCGTCAACAGCCCGGCCAAGGCAGGAACACACGATCCGACATGGCTTCCGCATGCTTCCGTGACAACAGCTGTTGGCTCAAAACTTTATCCTGACCTTGTATTTGATCTCAAGAAACTGTTTACTGGTGAGAAACAGTTGCTTGCCAACACTGGAACAATTTCGATTCTAGTCCCGAAATACACTAACGATGGGGGCCCGCACGTCAGGAAGGCGCTTCGCCAGAACCTCGAACTTCTCCGGCGACCGTTCGGCCTAGGCAACTATGACAGGAAGTACAATCGAATTTCCTTGAGGCATGCACGACGGCACACATTTCCGGTGGATTTTTGCATGACATGTGGTGGGCTCCTGTTGCCCGCAGATAATTTCATCATGAAGGCGTATACGATTGCCAGCACTCAGGCCACGACGGTTTCACGAATCTTCTTTGCTATCCTGCACGAAGACGTGGAAGCACCATGTGACTGGCATGACTGCGCGTCCGGTGTTTGCACATAAGGGGACACTCCTTTTTCTGAAGATGCACCGACCGTTGATCAGTGCAGTTTAAGTTTGATTGTGTGCGCGTGCGTGTTAGCGTTGCAAGCCAACCTGGCTACGACAAGAGCTCCAGATGCTGTATGTATCCGAACAACAAAGCAAGTGAGGAAAAATGCAGCGCTGAAGCTCGAAGCCGGCTCCTCAATCTCAAGTATTGTGGCTAATGTGGTTTAAGCTGCTCGGTGTGTGCCCAACATCCCCTGGACTGTTCACCAGAAATCACCAGAACATCCCCTGGAGAGGCGCGTACAGTTGACGCATCGCCACATGATGTCTGCCGGCTGGTAGCCATGTGCGGCCACCGATGCATGTGCGCTATTCTTTCGACAAATGCTGGCTGCTGTTGTGCTCGCACCAGCAAAAAGCTACCAACGGATCTACCTCCGTAGCCTTGCCACGAGCGGATCTACCTCCGTAAGCGTGCAAGGCACAACTTCTGATTGCTTGAGACACTTAACCAGCAAGAGAATGATAATGCAAGTTCAATCACCACTCGTCACTGCATGACTTCATGTGCCAACATCTGTCTACGTTAGTTTATCTGTGACAATCTGCTGATCAAGCACTCAGTTGCCGCCCTTCAGGTGCCGGAGGCTCTGCAAACACGTCTCACTGTCGGTGTCTGCCATTACACACGCGATGCTCTCCGGGACTGCAGCTGCCTGGGGGGTCTCTGTGGCACGGAGGAACTGCCTGCGCGTGTGCCCTCTCCTGTGCTTCCAACATTTTCATGAACACCTCGAAGATACAAGCGCACCCAAACTGTGACCCGCTCGACTGAACAACAATAGGAAAAGGCAAACGCTAAACCCCAGAAAGCATGGCGAGTGGCAAGCTGTAAACCAAAACTGCCAAGCGGAAACCCTCTAAAGAGCCGTAACTGAATCTAACAAACTCACCTACCATTCAGCGTTAGAGTTTGCGCATTTTAATTTTTTGGGGCGCCCGTCATCCCTGTTGGGAATATACATTCCCTACTATCACTCCAAAAAACAAGAAAAAACGAATGTTCCGATCGGACCGCACATACCCTGGAAGCGCCGACAGAGGCCCCCTAAACCATAAACCCTGAGCCCGCAATGACTTTGCAGATGCTTATGCATCTATTTTGGTGGCTGACCTGTCAGTATGACTATGCAAGGATATGATGCATTCCATATTTGTTGAGTTCGAAACATGACATGTATAACGACGTCTATGCCAACATTATCATTCACACACAAGTATACAGTATACATGCGCATGAATGCATCCAAGCATTTAGGCCTGAGGTTTGTGTGAACATAGAACATGATTAGACATACACATTTTACCATAATATACATATACGCATACACATATGGTAAACGATTACACATACAACCTCATGTGCTTTGAGTGCACATATCTTGAGATGCGACATATATGAATATACATATGCACAAACCGCTCCACACACACACACACATCGACACATATGTAGGCTAGATATGCATCTGGAGTAGGTAGACACTATTTAATGTATGTATTTTTCTATATTACACTATTGACATGCCCGCTGGGGTTGTGAATGATATAGTTGAAGACTTGCGTGCATCTTCCTGTTTGTGCGCGGGTCTGTTCCCAAGCCCACACAAAGAACTCTAGTTCCCTAGCCTCGGCAGGGGTGGGAGGGGGGGTTGGACACTGTTGGGTGGAGGCATGAATAGAGGACTACGCCATGAAGCCAGAGCGGCGAGGCCAAAGCAATAAAAAAAGAATGTCCTTGTAAAAAATGCGCTCGTTTTTGGCTCCGCTGCTCCCTCTCCTTTACCCTATTACGGAATCCTTTATTCTCCTAACTATTCGTCGAATCTGTACACTAAGTGTAGCTCAGATAGCTTTAGTAAGGACATCGCCCTTTTTTCAGAGGAAGACCCAACTATTTGTTACTGGAAACTAAGCTTTTTTACGAAGACCACAAAATGGGGCCCTGAGGGTGACGCTTTCTGTCTTAAACTAATATGCCGCCTTCGGCCTACTCCTGACGGCTGAGCCACCACGCTAGTTCTGCAGAGGCTAATGCCACGTCTTCTCCTAGCAGGCGTAATCGAGAAGGCCTTCTGCGCATCTTGTCTTCTTCCTTTTGTGTCCTCGGCGAAACCCAAGGTGTCAGTCGCTCTCAGAAACAAGACGTCCAGGTCTAAGGTCAGCTCGGCAGTCGGAGGCCCTCAACTTTGAGCGTGGTGGCATCATGGTTCAGCTCCAACTGGTCAGGGAAACGACGGGGCTCGATGGCACCAGCTACCAAACCCTCCACGAAATATCTCTCAAGGACAAGACTCTGCCAGAGCACAATTCTCTAAAGCATCTGGCAGTGCTGCACATGGGCAAAAGACTGCAACAGGCTTTGGCATGGACTCATAGTGCAGAAGTTCGCCTTGAGGTCATCTGGGCACAAACCTGCAAAAGATGGGCGACAGAAAAAACATCGGAGCTTCTTATCTTCCGCATCGTTCCGCCGAGCAGTCAATGCAACAAGCCTGGAGCCGTTGCGGAGAGGACGTACTGGCCGTCTTCCTGTGATTGTGGCCGAACGTGGCGGAGCTACTGGAAACCAATCCCAGTGTCCCTGAACCTCGCGGGCATGAAACCGCAAAGGCAGTCGAACCTGTGGGATAACTGAGAGTGGAAGATCTAATTCTGCTTGACAGCAGCCAGCCTGCTTCCACATATCTTGGTCAGGTGGAGGCGGCTCCAACACTGACATCGCAACTGCTCCAGGCTTTGAGACCGCCGGGAGGACCTCTGGCGCGGCCTGCAAGGACTGATAATCAGCTCCACCGACAGTGTGCAGACCGTTCCGTGTCCCAAGCCTTCAATCGTGAAAAGTCACCCGAAAAGATATCTTCCACTGACCGACTGAAGCGTTTAAGCTACGTCTCGCGAGCAGCTCGAAACCTCGCAAGTGCCAGGCAAGGGCTGCAAGACAGGCCTGCTCGAGTTGCTCTTGCTCCTTGCGCTCTCTTTCCTCACGGAGCTGGCATACAGCAAATGAACTGCTTGGACTGTCACTCACACTCGACACTGCAGCATCCATCCTTGGTCTCAAGATTTTTCAAATTGTCCTGTTGGGACTCGCAAAACTGCTGGCGACTATTCCTTCTTGGCAGGCCAGTGCTGGCCTCCAGCTTTCTATGCAGCGTTGCCAGTCGAGACTTGGCCGTGTCGACGTTCTGACAGGACATTCGCTCGCTGCCGTTGTCTTACATTTTCAATTTCAAACTTCGAAGTACTCCCGGGATCACTGGGTGTGTCCTGAAGCAAGCCTTCGAGACCGGCAATCGTAGCCTCAAGCATCAGCAACACAACAAGTACCAAGGGAAGCACCGGTCCAACCTTGCGAAGGCTTCTGTCTTCCGGAGTCAGCTTAGACAGATTATCCAGCACCATCATGTCCTCGCTTCAACTGTGAGACTACACCAGGCCTGGGGCAAGCTCATGGAACAGGACAGAATTGAAAGCATCGATCCTCCAGCAAATCCTCCCCGAAATTTCTCGCTTTCTTTCTTGCCTGAGGCAGCAATGACCCGGCCATACCCGGCCTACGCTGAATACACCGCGCTGTGAACAAATGCCGCGGGTATCGGAGACCAAGCACAACGGAGCTTCTTCAGGTGGGGACACTGCGGCAAATTGGTTTTGGACTGCGAAGGTCAGAGACAAAAACGAAAGAAACGCGCAGCAAGGCCCGCATATGCCCGCATGGAGCTCCCCGGTTTGCTCCAGCACTAGCAGGCAGCTCTGTCATATATTGTTTCATTCTTGTGTTTTTCGCCTGTCTCACAAGCTGAGGAAATCTCTGTTGTAGTGTTTCGTTGGCATTTCAACCATAATGGGGAAAGAAATCCAAAACAACAACAGATCACTTGCCCGGAACAGGCCAAGGACAGCAGGGCATTCATGTATGGTTTTGTCATTGGCCGTTTGTTGCGTTTTCAAACATGGCGTCGCCTGCAGACTAGGCGGGTTAGCTTCGAACACTCGTGGCCATCAGCACACTGAGCATGCTGAGGTCGACTGATGCCGACCTCCCCGACAGCCACCAGTTCAGCACGCAGCTTTTCGGCTTGATTCGCCGGAACTTCCTTGACAGTGCATGGCAGTGCCCACTTCTGAACCAACAGCGGCTAAGTCCGCAACATGCTTGGCGAGCATTGAAGTCGTTCGAGCAAGATCATGGACTTCCTTCAACCTGACTGCGAGGACGCGGCACCACCTGTTGTCAGGACACTGATTCTCAGCCGAGTGCATGTTTTCCTGATGCTCCTTGACCTTCTGGACCTGCCCAGCAACGGCTCTGGCACTGAATTGCACACGGCGACGAGTGAAGAAGCACGGGAAACCCTTTTCCAAGCGCTCTGCTTCGATTCATGAGCTTGCCCAGCCGCTTGCTTGGGCTGGAATTGCTGGACGTTGTGAAAGACCACCGACGTTTCGTCACCTATCGACGACCTCTTTGGGCTGGATGCAAAGCTCGTCTAGGACGAGAATGCAGACTTCAATCATTGAGATAACATGACTCGGCACAACAACCTCTGAAACCCACTTCTGCCTACCTACATCTTAGCCACCCCGGCACGATCAGCTTGCAGCAAGCTTAGACACAACCTTGATGCCATGTGTCAGGTAAAACAAATGTATGTACAGATGTACCCCAACAGCAAATACATCCACCTCTACCAGGCTTCGCTTTCAAGCGGCGTTCTTTGCATCTGCCTCCGGCAATCAGAATGCTGCGTGTTTACGAAGAAGCTTCCTCATCACTCACCATGTGCTCATGCAGTTCTGGCTGCGAGAAGTCAACGCGCAGGCCCTCCGAAAGCTTTGTCAAGGTGAGGACTACGAAGAGGAACAGCGCAGCGGAGGCCAAGACCCCCAGACCTACCAACCAAGCGAAATTGGTGCCCTTCAGCACTGTGCCGGGAGATAGCTGCTGTCCCAGAAGATCCCGAGAAGCTGCAGAAGGTGATAAAATCATTGACACGGCCTTGAATGCTTTGGCTGCATCCACGTGCAGACGTCTCAGTTCGGACTCATTCCACTCATGTGGCTCGCCGACTACGTCCGCATACCAGTCCGGCAAGTACATGTCCGTTGGAAAGAAATAAAATTCTGCAGGCAGGGCATAGTCTCCCAATGCGTTCTGGTACATCTCACTCTGAGGGTACTGTGGCAGATTGTTCCAATAATATGGATACTGGGGTACGAAAGTACGAAAATGGGCAAGCTGCCTCTTCATGGGACCCAAACCGGCCCATTCTGCAGCAAGGTACCCTAGAGCTGCAGCGGAATAGATGGGGTTGTACAATTGCGCCATAGCAGCCATCATTAAATTCCCTCCAGGAAATGACGTCGCTGACAGCGTGCGTTGTGCATCGTCAAAGGATCCACCAAGTCCCCCAAAAGTTACATAATTTATCTGCAGCCTCGAACCACCATGATGCTGCTGTTTCTTCGCAATCATGTATGCCGTCCGGGAGAATGTGTCACACGATGATCCGCAACCGCCGTCAGAAACAAAAACTATGTTTGTGAATGGATGCTCTACCCCTCTAAATGCATCAACAAACTCTTGGGTAAATGCCAAAACACAGTCCTCGATGCGAAAGAACTCTGTCAGCTTGACGTTAGGCTTGCCGCCCCGTCGTGCCGTTCGCGTAGACTTGAATGGATCAAATGGGGTGCCATTTGCCGCATAACCGTCAAGATATAGCGAGAAAGGATTTCCGAAACTCTCAGCTGATGCAGTCAGGATCTCAAGAGTCCCGCGCAAGCTCTCTTCGTCCACCTCCCCTGTGTCCAAGGAATCGATAGCAGACTGAATTTGCAGCACGTCGTCCATGTCCAAAACATCCATCTCCATGCAGGCCTTGGTGATTTTCTGCAGAACAGTCTTCATGGCTGCCTGCTCCTCTGGAGTCATCTGCTTCAAGCGCTGCCGGATGGCCGCGTCATCGTCCATGAAGGCTGCTAGGGGAGTTGTGTCGACCTCCCTCCAAGCCTTGTACAGAGACCCCACAGGCCTGTCGTACGTGTTGCAGACCTGCTGGAACTCCAAGAACGGGTAAAGTGCCCTCACGAGCAAATATGCAAGATCCACGAAACCACCGGCATTTCCGGCGACGTCAATCAACAAGCGATCCACGCCCCTTTCTTTTGCAGTGTACACTAGCTCCTTCCAGAAGCTAACAAACTCCATCTTGGCATCGTAGCCTACAGATCCGGTTGAGCTTACGTAGAGGCGGCTGAGCTTGAACACTGCGAAGACTTTCCCACCCTCGTCTTCTTGAAACTCGAAGTAGCCATAGGACGCCCCGAGCGGACTGGCAGCAGGGTTTAATAGCCAGCGACGTGGAGGCAAAGCCTCAGTCTCTGCACTATGGCAACTTCAGAACTTGGAGCAATGGCAGACCACGAGGTAGCTCAGTGCCCTGCAAGGAGGCTGACAGCCTGACCTGCGCGCTCCCTGAGCATGATGAGGCGGGTGGTGTTCAACTGCGCAACAATCAGGCCACATCTGATCCATGAGTGCCTGAGACCCAGATGTGCAAGCACTCGCCGATGCGCCTGCAGCTTTTGCATGGGGGCAGCTTGCAACAGCAAAGGCCATGTGCAAGACTAACCTATCCTCGCAACTCTCCCTGCGCATCCATTTCCGCCTCGGTGCCAGGGACGTTCTCCTCCTGGATCTGAAGCAACGTCCGCAGCCCAGGATCCTCGTCGGGTTTCGTGTGACCCGCTGGAACTTCGGCTTCACTGCATCGTTACAACTTCCAGATCTGTCTGCTCTACATTGCTCTACCGCTCTACGGTCGGGCAAAAAGGGGAACCGGTGTGCGAAGTTGGCAAATCGTCTCCTTTCTAAGAAGCTCGACCATGTCCGCATCTGCCGAATGTTTCATCACCTGCCATGCAACTGCCATGCAAGAGAACGGAACAGCGGTAGCTTAGGCGCTCGACATTCTCGGATCTGCGGCCGTCGGCATTTCTCGATGACCTTGCAAGCAACAAGGCAAGCCGTGCAAAAAGCACCCAAACTCAATTTTTCACGTGTCAACTTTGCACGGCTGAGTTCATGACAGTTGGGAGGCTGCCTGCTGAAAACTTGCACGAGGAGACACATCATGCGAATTTCGGATGCTTCTACCAGTCTAGAATTACCTTCGGCAAGTCGGCGTGGTCTCAAGCATTCGGCAAAGGAAGGGCTCCGATCCAGGCTCTGGCTGTTAGGCACGACAGTCGACGGTACAGCGATCAGGCACCCTGCAACCGGCCTCTGCTGCGTGCTGAAACAACGCGCTGGAGTTGGTCAGGTGCGCCTGACAGCTTCAAGCTTGTCTGGCTTGCAGCGTGGGATGCGGCCACTAGTTACGACTACAGTCAGAGTGCCATCGGTCGGGTGCGAGCAGCGAGTGGGTTACAGGATGCTGGGACGATGGATGTCGTTGCTGTCATGGCGTGCACTCAACAGACTGCGCCTCCAGAAACTTAACGGCACAAGCAGCATCGAAGAGCTTGCACCTCGTGGGCAAGCAAGACGTCAATCAAGAGTCCAGGGCCTCAACCGTATCTTTCTCTCCCGCGCTTGAGGTCGGGCTTTGCCCAGACATGCGAAGTTCAATGAGCCAATGTGGTTTTGCTAACGTGAACAAGTCGGACAGTGCAGGGCAGAAGAACGTTTTCTCGTTTGTAGCAAGAGCTCTCCATAGTTTCCACGATCTTACACGGTTTGCGGGCTGCAACTCGCGCCCTGCCTCGGGCCGTTGCCGTTTATGCGGGATGTGAACACAACTTGGCTGACCGATCTCATTCTTGCGCGATGCAGACCAGCTGTGCTCTGGCTCAGCTTCGCCATGGTCGTTCCGAGACACAGCACGGGACGTGTCGAGCTTTTTCCACGAGGCTGGCTGTGTCGTCGGCCATGCCCTGATGGTCCAAAATTCCTATCCTTGGAGCCATACTGAATAACAATCTCACGGAACGTGTCAAATTGTCTCAGACGTTTGAATGAAGGATGGAGCGAGATGCAGTCGGAGATGCCATGTGTTGCTTGTCCCGGGTACAAGTACCAGGTTTGATGCCTTCCGGTTGTCTGGATGTGGTCCCATTTCCTGTTATTGTTGGCTTCAGCTTCGGACCTGAGAGTGGCCACGCTTTCGGCAACAACCTCCCCACTCAAGGACCCGACGATGCCAAATTCCTCGTCAGCCACAGCCATCTCCAACTCCATGTGCAAGCCTCACGTTGCTTGCGAACAGAGCCATTCCCGCTGCCTGAAAAGATCGACTTTCAACTCCAAGCAGTCCGACTTGTTCTTTGGACATCCACACATGCGGGAATACTGACCTATGTCGACTTGCGAGGTTGTGGCATGGGTCTTGGGTTGGGCTGCACTTTTGTTGAAGCTAGCGTTCTCATGTCTTGGCTTCTGAAGCGCCCGAACTTGGGCATGGGCCGAGCCATCAGCAAATGTCACCTTGAACCAACAAGAAAGCAACGAATTCAGCAGCCGGCATGGTCAACACTGTGAACGTCACGTTGACGGAGGGCTTCATTGACGACACATCGCCCACGTTGCTGCCCAACCTCGCTTGCCAACTTAGAATCGCATGCAACGGCATTGGGACTGGGGACAAGGCCATGCAATACCAATCCGCCCCAACTTGAGGAAGCTGTTAGCGCGCGGACCTGGGCGATGCAGTTTCCAAGGTAGTCAGTCAAGCAAAGTACTGCAAAGAGAAGTCCAAAACCCAACGCCCTGCAGCATGGTACAGCTGGCCGGTGGACCGCACTCGGTCGGCTTTGCACACTTGTCCATGACTTGTTTGGGAAACAGCCTGCTCAACTGCCATTGAAACCCGGCACCATCGATAGTTGAAGCCTGCTTGAGCTTTCCGCAGCTCTTGTTTGAGCTGCGCAAAGACATTATGTCCTGTTTGCAGTTTGCACAACGTCCTGTGATAATCCGAAGGGGGAAGCTCCGAGATATTTTCTGCATGCGAGGCGCCCGGGCAGACAGAAGCGTAGATCATAAGCAGGCAGGTTACGGGAGGGGATGGCCGATTATGTCATAGGCCTCTGTGCATGGTGTCTAAGAGACAATCAAAAGCAAGCAGGCGCTTCCGAAACCAGCATATGCCATGGAAATCCCCAGAGACCAAAAACGGTCGCGCCGCAAGCACGACCGGACCAAGGCTTTCACCCACGCTCTTGAAGCCGTAGTTGAAGGCCGGATTCTCCAGCACGTGTAACCGGAACCACCTGGGGTGGAAAACTCTTCAGCATCCTTCAGCACCAAGATTCTGCAACTCGAGCACATGGACTGGCACCTCATGGGTTGAAGCCCATCAATGCTGGCAATCTCGCCACCCTCTGACAGAAACCTCAGAGTCTGATGGCTACTTGATGTCAGCAACGTGCCGTAGAGTACTCCTCTGTTCATGACCCAAGCCTGGGTGCTGCGAAGCCGTTGACAACGACGGTGTCTCTTGCAGCTACCTGCGAAAGAGTCTGAGGATTCGCCAGGAAAATTTGCACCACTGCAACATGTCGACAAGACTGCCCAGTCGCCGAGTCCCCTCTCCCCGCGGAGTGCCTGAATGCGCACGGCCTTCTGCGCGCGGTCATCTTGCAACATAAAGATGAACTGGTTCAGTATGGAGTCGACCTGCGCGATCAAAAGCATGCGGCAGTTAAAGCGCTGAAACCCGTTGGCAGCCTTGGTGCCACCATTTCGCCAGTCAACGTGAGAATCTCGAAGCCTGCAACTCTCATTCTTGGCGCAGTGCAGTAGCATGAGCACCCGCAGCCTCGCAAAGATGGAATTGGCAGGCAGATACCAGTCAGTCAAGCCTGGTTTGCTCGGAAGTGATGCCTCGCAAGCTATGCAGATTGGTGCTTTGAAGGCCTCAAGAGACAAGCTGCTTACTTGCACCATCCTGAGCACGTGGCTGCGAGCGCTCGCAGCTCGTCTACAAGGTCAACGCGGGCAGCCTGAGGGCGGCACGGCATGGACCTAACCTGATGGACATGGCCGGACAGCTTCCTGCCCTCCTCTACCCTTGAGAACGTAAGGAAACCAGATGTCCGAACCCCAAGGCGAAAATCGCCAGACTCAAGTTCATAGGATCTCATAGGCGTGATTCCGGACCTGGTTTCTTTAAGGATCGCATCACATTGCATCCCCTTGCCCTGGAGGGCGAAGCCAACTGTCGAAAGCCAGCACGACACTCTGCCCGTGTGCCTCTGCTGATGCTCCACCTCCTCGTCACTGAACAGCTCTGATTTTCAAGGCGATTCTAAGCTGTTGGATCCTCGTGGCGTGCCGTAGATTCCGTAGTTAAAAGGCGGCGCCTAACACGCGGCCCAGGCAAAGCAAACTTTGCGTGGTAGCTTCGACAATGCACATGACCGACCTGCACCTGATCCGAGGCTGCCGGGTCTGCGCAGATGTACCGGAAAGCGTAGAACCTGAGTTCGGTCGAGCAAAGCCATGACTCCATGACTGCTCGACACTTCGGGACTGAGGCCAAAGCTGCTCGTAAAAGTCCGCGACGGCATGCAAAGACTGGTTGACCGCCGCGTATGGTGCAACGATCTGGAAACCAAAGAAGTGGAGGGACTGGTTGCACAACTCGCTGTTTGAATCCATCAGTGCCTTCTCCAAGCAGCCGAGGCCTGGAATGAAGCAAAGTTGCACTTCATGTTGCATCAGTGCCGGAAAGGGAACCAGAAACGAAGTCAAGCAAAATTATGCAAAATGTAGCAGCGAGTGTGGCACACGTCTCACCCCGCCTTCGTGCAAGCTCAGGCTGTATGCGCCATCAAAATTGATGCTTTGCACAACGACAGACCTGAACTCAGGATACAAGATATGTTCAACTGATTTCTTTGGCGACTTTGTTCCGGGCTGTCGAAGAGAGTCTGGTCTGAAAACACAACCAGCCAAAGCCTCAACAGGACGCTTCGCCGCATTGCATGTAATGAGCCACAACTTTCCGGATCGTTCAGGTGGGGATCCGAGTTGGAATTCGATTCCCCAGTCCGAAACATGTTGAGAACTGTTTTCCACACGCATGTGTAAAAGAACCCTCTCAACATGAACTTACCCAATTCGATGGTGTGCCCCGCTCTCCCGCACCTCCTGCCTATGAACTCCTACCGGCCCAAGGCATGATTGAACGCTTTCATGCCCTGCATGTTCCCCGCAGCCCTTCCTTCGTCCCGTTTCCCGACCGGCAATTGGGCCTCGAATCCACGAAGACTAACCCCAACTGTGGTGGCCATCGAAGGCACGGGGTTCAACTGCCACTGCAAGTTTTCGCACTGCGTGGTATCACGGACATGTTGCCGGATAGAATGGTAGTTGCCTGATCTTTCTAAAGCCTTCGTGCTGGCGTCACCACTACTCGTACCGTCGAATTGCTGCCAGGAGACTGAAGTGACAAGCTGCACCAGCAGCCATGAATGGCTAGGCCAACCCTGTTTGTGCACGCGACCGGCAGAAGTCAGACAAGGCAGTTGGCTTACAAAAACTGTACGCTGTCGAGGCATCGGCTGCCACACGGGGCGCAAGCATTCCTCTCAAGGCTGGCTACCATCTGCCATGGCTCCAACTGATTCGGATGGGATGTTCACCTGTTCATTTCCTCAACAGGATGATACAACCGAGACGACTACGTGATATCTGTACTGCACCGACTTCGACTGCGCGGACAAGAACTGTCGCTGAAGTGGCTGAAGGACTCTGAAGGGTTGCTCCAGCCTGTCCTGTCAGCTACATGGTAACATGCCTACACGTACTGGTCACTGTTTGGCAGGCAGGACGGCACGGATATGCACGGATGCAACTTGGAAGCCGCTCCGTCAGACAGCCATTGCCTTTGCTTGTGGCGCACCCTTGTGCGCCATAGGCATAACGGAAGGAATGCAAAAGAAAGGTTCGTGCCTTCAATGTCGCGGCCACCTGAGACTTCGTCCTCTTCAGAGGTGGCTCGCTGTCTTCGTCACCTTCGGTCGGTTTCGAGACCTCCACGGGTAAAGACAAGTTCGAGCTAGTTGGGTCTTTTCAACTGCCCGAAAGCAGTACTTCATAACGATTCCCTGAAGCTATCACTGAATAGATACATCCCCGTCTTGTCCATATTCCTATCAGTTGATCTGGCATTGTCAAGAGCCTTTTTTGAGACGTCTCGTGGCATGATCACTGTGTGCACAGTCTCATCTCATGGAATTTCTCCATCCTATTTATGCCGGTGAGATGCAGAACTCCGGTGTCAGGATGCGCAATGATTGGCATGCTTGGATCCTCAGGGGTGTACACGAAGTCTGTTGCTCTGGAAACGAATGTGTGTGGAAGAGCGATGACCTTCATTCCACCACAGATGCCAACCCTGTTTTCAAGGTTGGCTCCAGTCCATTGGCATCCTTTGCGATCCAGTGCAAGGTTGAGAAGTACCTGGCAAGACTGCTTGTCCGTCGGGACAGACAACAGGTCATCTTCAAACAGCCTCAGCACCCGTTCAGTGTATCTGTACATGATGAAGCCGACATTCAATACGAAGCCCCATTTGTCTGCAATCTTTTTCGGATCCCACTCCGTGCTGGATGATGCAATGATGTCGGCATCCGGATACTGCTGCAAAACTTGCGATAAGTTCGAATCAGGACTGCGTAGCCAGAGTGCATCAACGTCCAGGTGCAGCACCGACTTCTTCTGACTTAGTGTATCCCAAAGCATCTTGTGGTAGGTCTGAATATAGTTGCTCCTCGGGAAGCCAGAAGCGGCAGAATGCTCACTTCGAATCATCTGCCTGTGTCCGGTGTGTGGCTGGACAAGCTTCATCTCGCCACCGGTCGAAATGGACACATCCATGTGTGTCGCTTCGGTGGCACTGTGGTCGAGAACGTTGGTGACACTCACACTGTCCACTTTACTGCCTAAGTTCTGGCGCCAAAGCTCAGCTTCAGCACAAGATGCATCATCCATGCAACCAACTTGAAGGGACTGCGAGGACGCGCTTTTCTCAAACCATTGAAACCAGCACTTTGCCATGGGCAAGTAGTGACCATCAAAGACCAGAAAATTGGTCCATCGGTCGAGTTCAGCAATGCATACGGGCAGGAATGGCAGGAGCTTCAAGAACATGGCGGCATCAAACAAACGAAGAGTGGGTTAGATGGACAACACATTAGTAGCGACAGCATCCTGAGCCAACATGTCACATGACAAAGCCACTCAAACGTGTCGCCTGCAAGCGATCCAGGCGACTTACAGCCGCGCAGCCATCGCCTCACTGTCCATCTCAACGTCCGTGTGGCTCACAGTGGACTCATCTACTTCCGCTTCGATCTCACCCTTGACAATGCAACTTTCCAAAAGACATTCTTTACGGATCACATACATGGCCGACGCAATCCTGCGACTGCTCGCGCTTTGTGGGCACGAGGAGGGCCGCGTCCTTGGCTAAAACACAAGGGATCGCCCCACCCCGCAACCTCTCCTTCTCGAGGCCACTCTTCTTCTGCACAGCCAGAGGACAGCGCTCCGCCCCCCCCCCCCCCCCCCNNCGCGCGCGCGCGCACGCGCCGCATGCCGCACCGGTTCTTGTGGTCTGAGTCGACTCTAGAATTGATGAGGCCGGTGGGTGGCAACTCAAAGCCCCGCTCCCTGAATTGAAAGCCGGTAACCCCGGCCTCATCTTGCGTTAAGGCTGCAGATGGCCGCAGCAGGTTCTGTGTGCTAGCTCGCAGTTTATATCTGCTTGCTCAACTCTACGCTGCTCCGTGCCGCAGACCACAGAAGTAAAGAGGACTGCTTAATGCCCCCATGGTAGCTAAGACATCACAATTCCCCCTCGAGGCCACTCTCTCCCTCTCTCCTTGCTCTTTCTGCGGGTCTCTCTGTCTGTGCCTCTCTCCTTGCATAGTCAGACCGGTGCTCCTC